TTCAATAGAACAGCAAAGAAAAGAATAGAAGAGAGATGAATAGAGAAGAGGGAGAGACAAAACAAGGCGCAGAGAAGATGGCACTCTTCTTTATCTATCCTATCTCCCTTATCTCTCCCTTCCCTCTTTCTTTTCGAAATAAGAACAACTAAAGAGGAAGAATTTATGAAAAGGAGAAGAGTAAGGAAAAGAGCAGAAGTAGGCCGAGAAGAGGGACATGATGAAGTACGGCAAGGTCCAAGCGCAAGGAGTCACCCTCTGCTTTACCTTCCACTGCTTTATCATACAAGTTCCTGTCTTGTGTTTTATCAGTTAAACGGAAACAGAAGGAGAGAAGGGAAAGGGAAGTGAGAGAGGAGAGACAACAAGGAGGCCATTTTAATTTTCTGGAAGGGTACTGAACAGAAGAGAGGAGACAAGGAACAAGGAGACGGAGGAACACAACAAGGCGCAAAGAAGATGGCACTCTTCTTTATCTATCATCTCTCCCTTCCTTGTCTCTCTCTTTTCCCTCTATTATTAAAAAGGACAAGACCTCTTCGCAGATAGGTGCCCTCTCTCCTCTTCAGGAAGCCCCCTTGCCCTTATTTTGCTTGCTTTCTGAAACGACAAGGAAAACAACACATAGAAAGAGAGGAAATGGAATGAACCAATAGGCAGTGGAGCTCTTCAATTTCTTTCCCTATCTCTTTTCTTCTTTTTTCATTCTTCATTCAACAAGGAAAAGAAACTTCCTTTTGTGTGTTTTTGAGATTTAAAGGAGAACAAGAGAAGAGAAGGGAGAGAGAAAGGAGAGAGGAGAGATCAAAAGGAATGCAACTCTAAATGGAAGAGCAATGAAAAGAATGGAAGAGAAATGAGGACAGGCGAAATGCAAAAGTCAGGCAAAGAGAAGATGGTGCTCGTTTTCATCTTTCCTCTGGTTCTTATTTTTCTCTTCTCTTGTTCATTTCCGTTAGAAAAAAACAACAGGAATAACAATGAACATGTAAGCAAACCCAGCTGATGCTCATGATTTTTTCCCTTCTCCCTCTCTCTCTCTCTCCATATATGGGCGATGGAACGGGTGTCCTTGTTGGGCCGTTTTCTGGATCTTCAAGTGAGGAACCTAGGTGTTTTCTTTTGTTCGTTTGAAGACACAGAAAGCGATTAAAAGGGACGTCCATTTTGGATTGGCAGCCAACCCAGCTGATGCTCATGATTTTTCTCTCTCTCTCTCTCTCTCTCTCTCTCTCTCTCTCTCTCTCTCTCTCTCTCTCTCTCCTCTCTCTCCCTTCCCTATATATGGGCGATGGAATGGGTGTCCTTTTTGATCGTTTTCTGCATCTTCAAGCGAGGAAAAGGGACACCCCACAAGAGCACACTTAGGGTGTCCCTTTTGCTCGTTTGAAGACACAGAAGGCGATTAAAAGGGACGCCCATTTTGGATTGGCAGCCAACCCAGCTGATGCTCATGATTTCTCTCTCTCTCTCTCTCTCTCTCTCTCTCTCTCTCTCCCTATATATGGGCGATGGAACAGGTGTCCTTTTAGATCGTTTTCTGCATCTTCAAGCGAAGAAAAGGGACACCACAAGGAAACACTTAGGCTGTCCCTTTTGCTCGTTTGAAGACACAGCAAGCGATTAAAAGGGGCGCCCATTTTGGATTGGCAGCAAACCCAGCTGATGCTCATGATTTATCTCTGTCCCCATATATGGGCGATGGAACGGGTGTCCTTTTTGGATCGTTTTCTGCGTCTTCAAGCGAAGAAAAGGGACACTACAAGAAAACACTTAGTAAGGGTGCCCCTTTTGCTCGTTTCAAGACACAGAAGGCGATTAAAAGGGACGCCCATTTTGGATCGGCAGCAAACCCAGCTGATGCTCATGATTTATCTCTGTCTATATACGGGCGATGGAACGGGTGCCCTTCCTGATCGTTTTCTGCATCTTCAAGGGAGAAAGAAGGGCACCGCCCAAGAAGGAAAAGTAACATCAGATATAGGGAGGGAAATTGAAGAGCTCCTCTCTTTACTTAGTCATTCCCTTTCCTCTCTTCTTATCTGTTGTTTTCTTCGCTTCAAAAAGCAAAATAAGGGAAAAGAGATTTCCTGAAGAGGAGGGAGGGCACCTATTGAAGAGCTCCTGTCTTTACTTAGTCATTCCCTTTCCTCTCTTATCCGTTGTTTTATTCGCTTCAAAAAGCAAAATAAGCGAAAAAGAGATTTCCTGACGAGGAGGGAGGGCACCTATCTGTAAAGAGCAATCGTTTAGAGGGGAACAGGAGAAGAGGAGCGAGAGAGAAGGACAGAGGAGAGATACAGGGAATCCAATTTCAATAGAACAGCAAAGAAAAGAATAGAAGAGAGATGAATAGAGAAGAGGGAGAGACAAAACAAGGCGCAGAGAAGATGGCACTCTTCTTTATCTATCCTATCTCCCTTATCTCTCCCTTCCCTCTTTCTTTTCGAAATAAGAACAACTAAAGAGGAAGAATTTATGAAAAGGAGAAGAGTAAGGAAAAGAGCAGAAGTAGGCCGAGAAGAGGGACATGATGAAGTACGGCAAGGTCCACGCGCAACGTCTGCCCAGAATTAAATAATTTAAATAATTTAAATCCGAAAGGGGCGTTTCGTATTTACATTATTAAAATTATTTAATTCTGGGAAGGGGGGGGGCCCGGTCCTGCCCCCCCCCCTTTTCGGATTTAATTTTTTAAAATTATTTAAATTATTTAAATTATTTAACTTATTTAATTCAGGGGGTGGAATTAGATAATTTAAATAATTTAAATCCGAAAGGGGGGGTTCGGGTTTAAATTACTTAAATTATTTACTTCCCCCCCCCCGGAATTAAATAATTTAAAAAATTTAGATAATTTATATAATTTAAATAATTTAAATAATTTAAATCCGAAAAGGGGGGGGGCCAGGCCCGACCAGGCCCCCCCCCTTCCCAGAATTAAATAATTTAAATAATTTAAATCCGAAACGCCCCTTTCGGATTTAAATTATTTAAATTATTTAATTCTGGGAAGGGGGGTGGGCCCGGGCCTGGCCCCCCCCCTTTTCGGATTTAATTGTATTTAAATGATTTAAATTATTTAATTATTTT